TACATTTTTGTGTATTTGAACCCTTTCCAACAATGATTGTATGATTTTGAGATCCATCATTTCACACTGAGGACAACTGAGGGACTCATATGCAACTATTACAGAATAATAGGGGGGGTTGAAAACTTTTTGAATTTGAAGATCAGGGTAAATTTAACCTATTCTGTCTTCTGAGAAACAAAAAAAAAAAAAAAAAAAAAGATATTTATTGTATTTAGAAGTGCAGCAGATGAAAATTGACAAAACGTTTTTGGGTTACTGATGATGAGGTATTTGTGACTTTTTCTTATCCACTAGCCTCTAAATAAATATTTTTTCTAGGAGTTTTTGTCCCTGGATTAAGAGTGCAAATGTATGCCCTTCTATTACTTTACTAATGTGTGAATCATACCTTTAGTGTTCTCTTGTTTTGTTCACGATCAAACACATACAGGCAGCCATCGTTTGCACTATTTGATAGAGACAAAAAGCATCTCATTAAGAATAAAGGAACACTTTAGTTTTCTATGTATGGTAGGTGGTTATTCTGCTAATAAATGAATAAATAAATTAATTAATTAATTCAAATAAAATAAAATAACACTCCAATAGTGGAAATCAGAAAAGCAAAACAAGTTTCAACATGTTTGAAAAAAGTATCCAGATATAAAAACTAATATTGAGTTAGCACAGGATTGTTTTCTGGGGTTAGTATTCTTAGACCATAGTATATTACTAACCCGCCTAAAATTTCTTTTCCATCTGTGGATGCTGCTAGAGAGAAAACACAGAACCTCCTTTCATCAGGACTGAAAGAAGAAAAGACACCTGTCAGCATCAGCAACAATGAACACTAACAACTACAGTCATTTCTAATATGGTTGTTACATTAAATATACCTCAGAGGCTATAATGAAACATAAATAAAATATAAATCTTTAAACATATAAACTAATTTCCATTCACACAGCCCTTGGGGATGAACAGAGCAAGACCAAACCTCTAAAAGCATAATATTACAGTTTATTATCACAGGATGGTCACCAAATGTTATGCAATGCAGAGAAGATGTCAACATGGTCATGTGAATGTGATGCGAGAGGCAGAAAGACACACTGGCAAAGTCAGCTATTGGCATTATTAGCATATCTGGTGTTATGGCACTTTAATTACAATATATATACTATAATTTCAATATAGGAGGGTTATTGTTCTTACATATTATGAGCATAATCAAATATCTGTTATTTATATATGATGTCTTTGCTACAGTAATGAGTGTCGAAAGGGAAAAAAAAGAGAATTTAACTCATAAATAATGGAGAATTGTCCCCTAAAATAAACAAAAACAACCACAATTGGTCATTACTTTGAAAACAAACTTCCTTCATATTTCACTTTGCCAGCGCGTTGAGTTTTGGTTAGCGCACGGTCACGTGATGGCTGCAGTGATGAATGGTTATGGAAATCTGTTCTAATGTCTGTCATCCACATGAAGAGGAAGCATACAGGTGATTACCTGAGTTTTAATGCTAAAATGTACTATGAGGAAACACTAACTTGAGGTCCAGAGCGGTGTGTGTTTCATTGTCCCCATCTACACTGCACACATGGACTAAAGAGAGGGAGCACAGACAGATATGCATTACTGGAATAAATGACAGTGGTGCCAAAAAAGCAGTTTAAGTGACTTGGCCCTGTCTTACTGTAGTCAGACCAACTGGAGTACAGCACACAACGTGCATCAGGGGTGAAACACACATCCAGAATGCTCCAGCCCACGTCTCTGGCCTTCACTGTCTTCTTTAGAGTAAAACGGCCCCTACTAGTGTCATATAACCTGATATTCTGATCTATAAAAACAGACAGAAAAAGAAGAGTATAAGATACTGTTTACGCTACACAATTCAAATGTTTGGTTCAAAGATTTTTGTGTTTGTTTTTGAAATAAGTCTCTTATGCTCACGTAGGCTGTTTTTATTTGATCAAAATACAGTAAAAATTGTAATATTGTGAAATATTATTACTATTTAAAATTACCGTTTTCTATTTTAATATTTTTTCAATGCAATTTACTTTTGTGATGGCAAAGCTGATTGTATAGCAGCCATTACTCCAGTCTTTAGTGTCACATGATCCTTGAAATCATTCTAATATGCTGATTTGGTGTTCAACATTTCTTATTATTATTAATGAAAACAGCTTTGTTGTTTTTGTTCAGTTTTGTAAAAACCATGAGCATTTTTCAGGATTATTTGTTGAATATAATGCTCAAAAGAACAGCATTTATCTGAAATTGAAATTTTTGTAACATTATAAATGCTTTTAGTGTCACTTCATCAGTCTAATGCATTCTTGCATTTCTTACAAAAAAAAACCTAACCTTGCTGACCCCAAACTTTTGAACGGTAGTTTATATGTACTTAAATTAAAGCCAAAAAAAGATTGAAACAATTACACTACAGGACTTTTGTAGAACTTCGTTATGCATTTGAACATGTCTGTGAACATGACTGACATTTGGAAACTTACTAAAAATAGAAAAGAAATACTAATGACAAAGTCTTGAATTACAGTTTCACCTTGGCATGCAGACAGGAACATGTTTCCCTCATCACTGTAGACTCCACAAAAGACTTTCTGCTGGTAAGTGTCCTTGTATACCACATGATTAGGCAGAAAACTATGAGGAAATGTATATTAATTATTATATACGTATGCAAAGAATGATCAGTTTTAGAAAAAAATCTCTATTTCAAATTGTACTGACATATGTGCCTCTGTATCTGTGAGTATCTAGCATTTGTTGTTGTAGCACAGCATTAATGTTGCACTTACTGTGAACGGATTCGGCTGCACTCTCCATGAGAGAAACTTGACCCACGACACCGTCCCTGTTCCCGCTTCAGAAAGAAATACACAGTTAGATTATAGAAAGCTGCACATTTCTGAACTCCACTCTATTTGGCTGTATAAAGTGTTCCTGATTTCTTAATTACAAATCTGAAGAGCTACAAACTAGTAAAACAGCTGGATGAACTGCTCATTCAGACACATTGTGTTGTTACTATAAATGCCCTGTACATTAAGATATACATCCATAGATCCGCCTTACCTCTGCCAGCATTTGTGTGAAACTGTGTCTGCCCTTTAAGCCTGAGGATGCAGTGACAAGCAGGATCTGTGTGTGGATCTCACTGCAGTCAACTTCCTGTGTGTCTGGTTGGGCATCCACTGAGCGAGAATAAATAAGGCATAGTAAATGACCACAGAAGTGTTTAATTCAATGGTATTTATGGCACCATTGCTCACTTTTATAGAATGAAAATTATGCCATACAGTCCATAATTCCCACCTGGAGGGTCATATCGATGTCCTAGCCGCCCATCCCAGGCCCCATCGCTGTCCTCATCTGAGTCTGAATATGACTGCACGAGCTGTAGGCCCGTCGCTCCACTTCCATGGACCAGGCGGACCTGGCCCCTATAGTAGAGAAAAAGGAAGAACAATTTGCAATACCCATACGACAAAAGAGGAAGTGGCAGAGTTCCAGAACATGCAGCCCAGGCAAAGGGATCGCCAAATAAATGTTATGTAGGTTATGTATATAATTACCTCCGCAGTAGGTACGCCAGAACTTGTGCTAAGTCAACGTTCTCTTCAGATCCTGACTGCCTCTCGGCCTGTGTGTGACCCGTCTGATTGGAATTCTGGTTGGGTTCTGGTTCGGACTGGTCTGGGTTGCTGCCAGAGCCCCGACCGGACATCCCAGAACTGGACTGAGAGCCCATAGACTGATTGTCTGCCAAATAATTTATTCAGAAATAAGCAATGCAAGCAATCACATTCACGCCATTATAAAAAAGCAAGAAATATGATAAATATGCTAAAATGTATTTAAAGACATTGAACACCATCTTTTAGTAATTATGTCGAAACTTTGACATACACCCAAATAATAAGCGAAATACCTGTGTTGGCAAAGCTGAATATTCAGCAGCCATTACTCTAGTTTTCAGTGTCACACGATCTTTCAGAAATATGCTGATTGTGTTTTGACATTTCTTATTATTATTATCAATATTGAAAACAGTTGTGCTGCCTAATATTTTGTGGATTTTCAGTTTCAGTTTTCAGGATTCTTTGCTGACTAGAAAGTTTAAAAGAGCAGAATTTATTTGAAATAGAAATCATTTGTAACATTATAAATGTCTTTAGTGTCACTGTTTGATCAATGTAATGCATTGCTGAATAAAAACATGATTTTTTTTTTCTTACTGACTCCAAATGTTTGAATGGTACTATGTATGTTAAATTATTGAAAAAAAGAAAAGAAAAGAAAAAAAGATTTAAACAATTTCACTAAAAACTTTATTATGGTTTTTTTAATGCATTTTAACATTTTTGAGAAATACTAAGCAGAGAAAATTATTGTTAGCAATATTATTATTTTAAAAAGCAAGACAAACAATTCTAGGATTATCTTAAAGACATTTGACACCATTTTTAGTAATACTGTAAATAATAAGACATACACACAATTAATAAGAAATATACTTGTCTGACTATAAATCTGTTATGGACATGACACAATGCATAAATATGTATTACGACAAAATGAACACTGATGCAGTGCATTAATTGTGTGGGATGTCAGTGTTATTAACATCCCAATATTAGCTTGCCTTGAAAAATTATGACATTAAACAGATGATTTAAATTAATGTTGACATGCAACTGACAAAAGGCTGTCGATGTGACTGACAGGCTAGAACTGAAAAGAGCAAATGACATGGGACGAACACTTCATATAATGGTTTCATATTTACAATCTAAGATTTTAAAAAAGCACAAATACATAAAAGCCTACTCCAAATAAATGTTATGTAGGTTATGTATATAATTACCTCCGCAGTAGGTACGCCAGAACTTGTGCTAAGTCAACGTTCTCTTCAGATCCTGACTGCCTCTCGGCCTGTGTGTGACCCGTCTGATTGGAATTCTGGTTGGGTTCTGGTTCGGACTGGTCTGGGTTGCTGCCAGAGCCCCGACCGGACATCCCAGAACTGGACTGAGAGCCCATAGACTGATTGTCTGCCAAATAATTTATTCAGAAATAAGCAATGCAAGCAATCACATTCACGCCATTATAAAAAAGCAAGAAATATGATAAATATGCTAAAATGTATTTAAAGACATTGAACACCATCTTTTAGTAATTATGTCGAAACTTTGACATACACCCAAATAATAAGCGAAATACCTGTGTTGGCAAAGCTGAATATTCAGCAGCCATTACTCTAGTTTTCAGTGTCACACGATCTTTCAGAAATATGCTGATTGTGTTTTGACATTTCTTATTATTATTATCAATATTGAAAACAGTTGTGCTGCCTAATATTTTGTGGATTTTCAGTTTCAGTTTTCAGGATTCTTTGCTGACTAGAAAGTTTAAAAGAGCAGAATTTATTTGAAATAGAAATCATTTGTAACATTATAAATGTCTTTAGTGTCACTGTTTGATCAATGTAATGCATTGCTGAATAAAAACATGATTTTTTTTTTCTTACTGACTCCAAATGTTTGAATGGTACTATGTATGTTAAATTATTGAAAAAAAGAAAAGAAAAGAAAAAAAGATTTAAACAATTTCACTAAAAACTTTATTATGGTTTTTTTAATGCATTTTAACATTTTTGAGAAATACTAAGCAGAGAAAATTATTGTTAGCAATATTATTATTTTAAAAAGCAAGACAAACAATTCTAGGATTATCTTAAAGACATTTGACACCATTTTTAGTAATACTGTAAATAATAAGACATACACACAATTAATAAGAAATATACTTGTCTGACTATAAATCTGTTATGGACATGACACAATGCATAAATATGTATTACGACAAAATGAACACTGATGCAGTGCATTAATTGTGTGGGATGTCAGTGTTATTAACATCCCAATATTAGCTTGCCTTGAAAAATTATGACATTAAACAGATGATTTAAATTAATGTTGACATGCAACTGACAAAAGGCTGTCGATGTGACTGACAGGCTAGAACTGAAAAGAGCAAATTACATGGGACGAACACTTCATATAATGGTTTCATATTTACAATCTAAGATTTTTAAAAAGCACAAATACATAAAAGCCTACTTATTACGTTGAATATACATCCAAATCAGCCCTTTGTTGATAATTTAGCGCTCAAGCTAGCACACAGTAAGCGATCTACAAAAGCGGCCTACCAGATAAATGGTAACAGCGCTTTGGCAGCTCTTCTGCTCCGTTGGTTTCTTCCTGCAGACCTCGGTAAATAACCACCAAACAGTGTTATCAAAATTGAAGCTCGTAAACGTGTGAGTTCAGTATGCTAAACGCTTCTGTTTCCCTGAGTAGGTTTTAAGACTCTCTAGGTTCGTGACGCGCCATGTTGTTTACGGTCTCGAGACTCGCCTTCCCTGGGTCACGTGACACACTGACGCTCTCCCAGAGCAAACACAAATATTGAAAATATTTATTTTCCAGCCACAAACCTTTAACAGTACACTCCTAATAAGCAGAAACTACAGATTTTTTTCATTGTCATGAGCTCCCAAAATATCCAAATATTTTTTTTAACGATAAACTTTTATTCAGCATTGGAAGTAACTCAAAAAATTAGCTAGCAAAGTTCTCGTTTAGAGAAATTAGACACACTACACTAAAAGCTACATGACAGTTGTTATGTGTAGTTACTGTATGTTTAGTTTTCCTAAATGTAAAACATTCAAAATAGTCCGCTGTAATTTATCTAATATATGTTTATATAAGCAAACATAAACTAATTCCAAAAGAAATAAAAAAGAAAAATTGTAAATTATTCAGAGAAAATAACAGAGAACACAAGCAAGAGGTCATAACTCACCCAGCGGTAAAATGTGTCAATAATTACAAAATTACAGACCCTAAAAAAACAGCACGACCCTGAAACGGCTGATGACGGACTTTTCCATCACTACTAACACTAATTGAATTTTGCTGTTGAGAAATGAAACTCTGGATGACCTCTTATGCCGTCACTGTTGTGACATCATTGGAAGTTTAGCCTGTTCGGAGCCTGTAAAAGGAACAAAGCTGTGTCAGTTCACCTGGCTGAGACTTAAGTCCCTTCTCAGATACAGTTGTGACTTGTGAGTTCTACACAGCAGTTGTGTTTTGTTCAGTCCAAATGGACTGAAATGAAATGGCAATTGGTCTTCAGGGGAGGATAACGATGAACCAAATAACATTGCTTGTCAGTGATTTGCACCGAACAATTGTTGCATAAAGAATTCCACCCATTTGGACCAATCTGTTCTGTGCAAGTGTGCAGAAACACAATAACCAACCGGTCTCGTGGGTATGGTTTTGTGATTTTTGAACACGGCAGCATGCAGAAAATGCCCTAGAGGCTCTGAATATTTTGGAACTCATGGGCAAAGAAAAAGAAACTGTTCCTGTGTCTGGCCGTTCTGGTGCTCAGAGCTCTGTAGCGTCGACCAGATGGCAACAGTTCAAAGAGGGAGTGTGCTGGATGTGAGGGGTCCAGAGTGATTCTGCCAGCCCTTTTGCTCACTCTGGATAAGTACAGTTCTTGGAGAGAAGGGAGGGTTGTGCCAATGATTCGCTCAGCAGTCCGGACTACCCTCTGTAGTCTTCTGAGGTCAGATTTGGTAGCTGAGCTGAACCAGACAGTTATTGAAGTGCAGAGGATGGATTCAATGATGGCGGAGTAGAACTGTTTCAGCAGCTCCTGTGGCAGGTTGAACTTCCTCAGCTGGCGAAGGAAGTACAACCTCTGCTGGGCCTTTTTCACAATGGAGTCAATGTGAGTGTCCCGCTTTAGGTCCTGTTTGCTATATATGATGCCGTTTCAAACTTTGGGGAGGTTCTGCAGCCCAGAGAGTTCTGCAAAATGAACGGCAAACCTAAAGAAAAGGAGAGCAGCTCTGATGCACCATCTGAACCCTCTGAGCAGTCGTGGGGAAGAACAAATACTGCAAAAAGTTTTTTCACAACTGCTTTGAACAGGCCATGGTGTGGCATCTGTCTTTTTGTCCTATGATGATGGGGCAAGAAAAAGAAATAACCACTGAGTGCACAGCCCTGTGTAACCCTATCCACAGTGCAGAAAAACAAAGAAACAAGTAAGTAAATAAATAAATAAATACATTGCCTAAATAAGATGATAAGTTAGTAAATACATAAATACATAAATAAGATGACAGTAACCTGGTTTGGCATCTAGTCTTTTGACCCTAATATTGATGACAACCAGAAACCGAGGGAAACAGACATTCTAGACATTTTCATATGGTCTGCAGTCCATGATGGAAAAACTTAAATTCAAGGTGGCAGTGCAAATCTGAGAATCTACGTAACTCTACTTATCATTATCCCTAGTGTAATTTATTTATTTTTTTATTTTTTTATTTTTATTTTTTGCGTGCAACTATTCATACTTCTTCATCTATTCTCACTTAATAGTATTTCATTATAACCAACAAAGTGTAAAGATGTTGGAAATAAGAGCTTCATTGTGCAGTGTAGTCAAATAAAGATGTAAGAGTTTGAAAGAGTGCTCGGAATTCTGTAACCAAGTAAGGCAATAGTAATGTTAGTACGATAGGAGAACCCGTATCTAAATTGATTATTTATAAAGATAATAATATTATTTATAGAAATCATTGATGTTAGTTTCTCATTCTCGTACAGGTACAATTTGCACCATCTGCTGGACAGTTTTGTTATACTAGATGTACATATAATTAACAACAATCTATAATGTAAAAATATCTGTTTTTATTTGGATAGTGTTGTTTGTGTATAAAAGTTTAGGAATATTTAATACTTTTTGCTTTTGATTTTTGAGTTAGTTTTCCGTTACCGAGCTCCTCAAGGTACATACATAGTAACTAAATAATTAAATCACTAAGCAGTATGTGTGTGGACCTTTTTGAGTGTATTCTTGGTGTGTAATGTAAAAAATTAAATAATTCATTTAGATGTTAGTGTTGGTTGAATTTTCGAGCGGGGACTTTTAATTATAAGCCACATTTTTGAACCGGAAGTACTCAGTTGTATCCAGCGTCTGTGTTTTCAAGAAACTTGTTTTGTTATTTGAATTCGTGGTGAGTGTGACCGTTGTACATTTATTAGCCACAATATAGATTTGATTTATAGATCTACTTAGATAAGAAAGTATAAAATAATGTGATTTTATTTATCGCTTTCAAAATTGTGTAGAAAATCTGTCATTTACTGTTGTGATGGTAACAATCTGCTTTTATGAGACGGTTTAAGAAAAATAAGAGAACAAATATGTAAATACCAAGTACAGCAAAATATAATAAACACAAAAACGAGCCTTTCTGATATCTTTTTTGTTTGTTAACTGTTTACCTGTTAGCCTCTCGACTCGAGTCAGTCTGTCATTGTTATAATCTCACAGTTTTGTTTTATTTCTAAGATTTCTTCCTATTTGTCTCTGCTTCTCATATGCTGACTTACAATAATTCATCTTTTTTCCCTATGCAATACACTATCATAAGCCTGATGTTTGGTTGTGTTGTTTGCAGGAGTAATACAGCGCCTGTGAAACAATGGGTTTGTATTGGACTTTTATTTATTTGCAAATAGGAAATTGCAACGTCTCGACGAACTTGCGTGCTTTTTGCATATGCCTTTAATGAACCTCGTAAATTCGTTATTCGTCCTTATTCCTGATAAATTTACTCGTAGGCACGTGTCTGTTTAGCTTCCATTGCATGCTTCTTTTTCCCTTAAGTGTCCAAATAACATTTTCTGTCAGATGTTGAAGAGCGGACTTATGGTGGTTGTGAAGGCCCAGATGCCATGAATGTAAAACTGATCTCTTCAGATGGCCATGAGTTTATTGTGAAGAGAGAGCATGCTTTAACCTCTGGCACCATCAAGGCTATGCTGAGTGGACCTGGTGAGTATGAAACATGGTCAAAGTCGAGCTGTTATGAAACGGCATTTATTTACTGTGGAATTCTTCCATCACTCATGTGTTTTCAAAAACATTTGAGCAATATCTGAACAGTAGGAGGAAGCTCTAACTAACAGTTGCATGTTTTCTTCTAGGTCAGTTTGCTGAAAATGAAACCAACGAGGTGAACTTCCGGGAGATCCCGTCTCATGTTCTCTCCAAAGTTTGCATGTATTTTACCTATAAAGTGCGCTACACCAACAGCTCGACAGAAATCCCAGAATTCCCCATTGCTCCTGAGATTGCCCTGGAATTGCTTATGGCTGCAAACTTTCTAGACTGTTAGATAAGAATGGAGAATGTGTTATACTGTGACCGGCTTACTTTTCATTTGTTTGCCATCATATATGCTCTTATGACTTATGAGTGTGTATTTATGAATGTTTTGTATTTTTTGGTCCATTGAGGGTTTTTGTTTGTTTTTTGGTATGTTGTAATTTCAAATGGCTAGATAATTTGTTGTGTGTGCAGTGTTTTAAATGTCTTACAATCATTTTGTATTTGAAAAAGTATTTTGCAATTGTCCTAGTGCCATTCGCATTAGGGGAAAAAATGGATGAACCAAATATATCATTGTCATACCTCTATGTCTTTGTTTTTGATTAGTTTAATTAATACAGCACGAAGAATAAACAAAATGGCTTACATTTCTTGCAAGACACAAGTGAACACAAAATGAAGGAAAGCTCTATGCATTTTCAAAACCGTGAAAAACAGAAAATAAATCTTAGGGTAGTGTGTGCTAAATTACAGTAAATTATGGTATGATTGTACCATAAAAGGGATAGTGCTAAAAAGATCTGTCACCCAAAAAAATCTGCATGTTGAAAGCTGTCCCACTTACTTTCTTCTGTGACAGAATTAATTAAAAATAATAGATAAAATGATTGTAACTATTAATAATGATAGTACATAATTATTAATTCATAATTTAAAAGGATTCCTGATGCAAAAATAAAACAATAACAATAATATTTTTAATAATAGATATTTATTTAAAAAGTATAGATATCTATTGATTATTATAACTATTATTAATAATAGTTAATAATTAATAATTAAGAAGGAAGATTGTTCACCCCAAAATAAAAATAATTAAAAATCTGTATCTTGAAAGTTGTTATAAACCCATGTGACTTTCTTTCATCTGTAATAGAATAATACAATAGATATTTATTAAAAAGAATAGATATAATATAATTATAACTAGTATTAATAGTAATTAATAATTAAAACCCAAAAATAATTTAAAAAAACGTTCCAAACTTGTGCCTTTCTTTCTTTGAAAGAATAATTAATTAATAGACATATTTATATATATAAAGAATATATATGTGGTAGTTATTATAATGATTAATAATAGTAGTAGTAGTAGTAATAATAATAATAATAGTAGTAGTAGTAGTAGTAATAATAATAATAATACTTAGTTAATCATTTAAAACGATACTTAACTTAAAAAAAAAAAATCTGTATTTTGAAAGTCATTCCAAATGTGATTTTCTGTTTTCTGTGACGGAATAATTAATTGGTAGACATTTATATTTATTAAAAATAATTATTAATTGTAATAAATAAATACATTACATACATACTTCACCCGAAAAAAAATCTTGAAAGTCGTTCCAACAAAATGGTGAAATAATACTTATATTTATTAAAAACAACAGATATTTATTAATTATTATAACTTTGATTAATTGCAGTTAACTAGTATTAATTAATTAGGAAAAAAGTAGCCTCAAGGTAGGCTAGTGTATACTGGGGTTTTGGGGCTATCATGCCTTTGACCTAATGTAGGGAATAGTGAATGAGGGTATAGGGGGCGATTTCGGACACAGCCTGGGTGTTTGGACAAGGCATCAGAGTACGTTATCAGAACACAGAAGCGCTCGTGTGTCACGTGATGGTGACGTCAGTCGCCCTGCGTGTGAGCCTCGCGCCTCTGATGCGGGGGGATCCATCATGGCGTCGATGCAGGTAAGATCACAGCTGACATCTAGCTCTGTTTAATCTATCAATCACTCATTGATCAGGTGTCGAGTGTGTCGTCTCTGAGAGTGTAAATGGTGTTTTTTTTTTTGGGATACGCCTAATTAAGGGATCGAATATTGTTGTGTTATTTCTGAAATCATAACTTGTCCTCCTCGCTGCTCCTGAGCTGTCAGGGTGAGAATTATCATCGGTGCTTTGAAAGCAACAGCTGGCGAGCAGGACTCATATAAACTCCTGATTTACCGCAGATACAGGCAACGCAATGAGTAGAATCGACGTCTTATTACTAGAAGTTTCATGAGTTTGCTGTCTGAGTGGCTTGAAATCATGCTATCAGTATGTTTACTTATTTTTATCCAGCTTTGCAAGGTTATTTGGACATTTGATAGGACATTTGAAGTTCTAGATTAATTTAACTTAATTGATATATGAGTCACTGTTTTGTGTTGAATAAGAATATCAGCAATGACAAAATATAGGCAATGTTTGTTGCCACACAGCTCTCTTAGTGGTATAAATATTCAAATGAATGTAAATATACTGTACTAAATTTAAATGCTTGGATGTATCTCATACGACTTAATGTGAATAATGTAAAATTTGAAGACTTATATAATCCTGTTATATTCTTTACATTAAGGGGGTTTAATTTTTTTTAATGCTAAGTACCCCCATATCCTTTTATCATCTGCATATTACTATATTAAGATGAAGCTCTGTGTGTGTGTATTTATTATTTTATATTTAATTTATTATATTATTTAATTATATATTATTTATTTATTATTGGAAAATAATTTA